TAATATTGCCACTCTGTATGCGGGTAAAAGTATTGTATTGGCGCATTGGGTAATTTATTGAACCGCCAGAGTGATAGTGACGCGACTTTACATTTATTTCACAAAACCATGGATCTGTGGCTTGTTTAAATTAGAAGTTAGACGATTCGCGTCACTGATCGTAGAGTTAGTGATTTGCCTCAACTGTTGTGTTGACATGTTCACGAAAGCTAGCGATAATAATCATCTGATAATGCACATTCGTTTAGGGTGATGACGCTGATCAAGAAGATTCTTCGTTTGTTGCAAAACAGTCAGATACCACGGAGTATTCTTCGTCGCTGCCGTATTTGAAGGACGACGTTTGCGACTCAAAGGACCGTTCTTTGACTTCTCAAACACTGGAAGAGTCGAACTCGGAAATCAGCCTTGGTAACCAGACACCAGCAACTTCTAAAATTCTGCTTACCAGAAATAAGCTTCCGGCAATCAAGAGGATCAGCAGGCCCCCACCGTTACGACAGCAACAGATAGACAAAAATGAGACAGGGGAGTCGGTCGGGGCTGAGTCTTCTTCGTCATATTCTAAGCCTTCGGTTGTGGTCGTCTCCGAACGGACCGGCGCGCGCCCAAACGACGTGGCGTATCCGGTAACACCGCCAGTTAAAAAGCCCACCATTGTGAGACCCGTCTCGTCAGTGGCGACTGCAGCTGAACCGTTGACCTTAAGCGACCTGAAAAAGAAACGTTCCGAGGTGCGCAGCACGAAATCGTTGTGCCGCGAAGACAGCAGCGGGGGTCAGAAGTTGAACTCGCCGACAGTGATCGCGAGCCGCCCTTCGACCGTGACGAATAACAACGCGCTGGAGACCAAGGCCAAGAAACAGTCCAGTTTAAAGTGTTGCACCATTAGCTGAACGGAATCCGCGTCATCGTCATCTTCGTCCGACTCTAGCCGAAACGAAGGCGCCTAGTCAGGTTGTGATATATTATCCCGTTAGCGACACAGTCGATTGTTCATTTTACGCTCGTTCTGCTTGTGAGAAACCTATGCGTTCTTGTTCTTGCTGTGTAGCATTCCACAATGCCTTCCTGCGTGACCAACTTTTCTGTATTATTCCAGTTGTATTATTATTTATTATGATCATTTACTGATCTGATTTTGTTTCATTTTTAGCTTTATTTTATTTACCCTGTCGCTGCTGTGATCATCTTTTCAGAATTGCTTAGGTGTATAGGCGCTGCGTACTTGCTAATCTTTATTCCAAAAAGTTGAATTTCAAATTTATATGAACTACCGGCTACGTCAAATCACTTTACGCAGTTTAATACATATTTAGACAAAAATTTCTTTTCTTTATGCAGGCGCATAGCAGTTGTTAAATTAATAATCCCAAGTAGGTTTATGTCCTACTCTTTAATCTCTAGTGAAGTTAGCCATTTTGCTTGCATACAACAAGTGATGGGG